TGTAAATTTGATAAGTTCTCCATGTGGGTTCAGGTGTCTGGGGGGGAGGGGGGGGGGTAGACCCATTGCCCAACTAAAAAGCATGTCGTAAAAGACACATGATTACGGTTGTTTCCTTCGAAGTCGGGGTGCATGCAAAACTCCTATTCTGGAACAAGAAGTCTGGAAGAACAACCAGATTTTTGCCAGATTTTACAGCTGATGCACGCTAGAAGAAGAAGGAGAATTGGTTGGCATCTTAGAGCAGCCTGTGTGTATTTAATTCCGCATACGGTTTTTGGATTTACCCGCTAATCGAAAATAGATACAATTAGAGATTTACTTTACCTAGTAATATCCAGTATCATCTTGTGACGGCATGGTTGAAAGTTTGCTGTCAAACATACTTGGAAGTTTGCCAGTCTCTCCTTGTTTGGGACTGGGAATCGTTGTTTTCTAGTGTTACCAAAGGTCGTCCTTAATTCTCGGATAGTGAGAACGACATCTAGCTTTTTTTTTTAAGAAAAAAAGAAAGAAAAAAGACGGGTTCAGGACACTGACGTTACAAAATCACGAAGTTTTAACGGTTTGTTCCCAAACCTTCTTTCTTCTTCTTCTTCTTCTTCTTTTTCTTCTTCTTCTTCTTCTTCTTCTTCTTCTTCTTCTTCTTCTTCTTCTTCCTCCTCCTCCTCCTCTTCTTCTTCTTCTTCTTCTTCTTCTTCTTCTTCTTCTTCTTCTTCTTCTTCTTCTTCTTCTTCTTCTTCTTCTTCTTCTTCTTCTTCTTCTTCTTCTTCTTCTTCATTTGCTTTTTCTGCTTTTTCTTTTTCTTCTTCTTTTGCTTCTTCTTTTGCTTCTTCTTCTTCTTCTTCTTCTTCTTCTTCTTCTTCTTCTTCTTCTTCTTCTTCTTCTTCTTCTTCTTCTTCTTCTTCTTCTTCTTCTTCTTCTTCTTCTTCTGCTTCTTCTTCTTTTTCTTTTGCTTCTTCTTCTTCTTCTTCTTCTTCTTCTTCTTCTTCTTCTTCTTCTTCTTCTTCTTCTTCTTCTTCTTCTTCTTCTTCTTCTTCTTCTTCTTCTTCTTCTTCTTCTTCTTTTCTTTCTTCTTCTTCTTCTTCTGCATATGCAAGCCTTGTAGATGCTGGTATTTCTAGCCGCGGATACCGCATTTGTCCATTGCTTGCATGGGCGACCTCTAGTCTGCTACCGTTATTCATAAACCCCAGAAGGGAAAAGAGGGGAGTGGAGATTGAGGCAGGAAGTACACCTGTGAATGAGTAGTAGTCAGTTACCTTGGTCGGATAATTACCCTACAGATATATGTGCTTAAATGGGATGTACTAAAGCAGTGTTCTTTAAACTTCTTTTTATATCTCTCCGTGGACTGGCAAAATATAAGGTTTTTTTTTTTTTTTTTGTTGTTTAAACTTTCGTTGACGGCTAAGAAAAGGACCCTTTTTTTAGCCTTTAGGTTTATTGGGCATGTGGTGATAGACCTGCAGTGTATTTTATTGACCAGTCAGCACTCGGTGGGTGTCAACACCCCGCCAGCCGCCTTTACTTCTCATGACTTTGCCTGGCACCCATTTAAGACTGGGTCGGCCTGAGAGCCAAAGTCATTTTATGAAAAAAAGACCGGCTCCTGTTGGGTTTGAACCCACGACCGTCGGATCCGCACGCGAATGTCTAGCTGCTAGGCCACGGTGGCTCCCTCTGATGGCTAAAGCAGTGACAAAAACGTGTAGATAAAAATTTAACTGGGTTATCTCTAGAACAAAGAATGTCACCAGACACCCGCTGCTTTCCGTCGTTAATGCTCACGTAGTTAGGCCCAAATGCCCTCCTCGTGGACTCGCAATGCTCACGTAGTTAGGCCCAAATGCCCTCCTCGTGGACTCGCAATGCTCACGTAGTTAGGCCCAAATCCCCTCCTCGTGGACTCGCAATGCTCACGTAGTTAGGCCCAAATGGCCTCCTCGTGGACTCGCAATGCTCACGTAGTTAGGCCCAAATGCCCTCCTCGTGGACTCGCAATGCTCACGTAGTTAGGCCCAAATGCCCTCCTCGTGGACTCGCAATGCTCACGTAGTTAGGCCCAAATCCCCTCCTCGTGGACTCGCAATGCTCACGTAGTTAGGCCCAAATCCCCTCCTCGTGGACTCGCAATGCTCACGTAGTTAGGCCCAAATGCCCTCCTCGTGGACTCGCAATGCTCACGTAGTTAGGCCCAAATGCCCTCCTCGTGGACTCGCAATGCTCACGTAGTTAGGCCCAAATGCCCTCCTCGTGGACTCGCAATGCTCACGTAGTTAGGCCCAAATCCCCTCCTCGTGGACTCGCGTTTCATGAAAGCTACAAAAACGGGGAAGATTGAATTGTGAAACGAATTCACTAAACTCTGAGCAACCGCCGCACTAAATGTAGACATGTTATGTTTAAATCCAATTATCAAATTACAGTTTTTAACTAATGCGACTACTGCTGCCTAGGGGTTAAAAATTATATGTGGATGGAGCGCTGTTTCTAAGAGACGAAGCTCTGCAATAATATACGTTCTATTTCTCTGACTTGATTACTTAACGACATATACTTTTGGCGCTATATTATCGCATGTCATTGGCATAGCAGCAGTGTTGCGCCTGAATGATATATTCGCTACATAATTCAAAGGTCAGTTTTAGGCGGGTTACCTGAAAATGTCCGCCGGCCGGTGCCGGTTGACGAATACTGCGGTAGATTACAATGTCGTGTCGTACGAGTGAACATATTTTTACCTGGTAGTAGGCCTGCGGAAGATTTATGATTGATGTCTGTTTCGGCTGAACTGCTTGCACTTAAGTGATTAACCGAGAGTACAGTGCCCTTGAGTTGAGTTGGTAAGAGGTGCATAACTTGTGTGACTCGTTTCCTTTAAGGGAAGATATAAAACCTAACGAAAAGGAGATCAGCGAGCTTCACATTATAACAAATACAAACTCAAATATTGCGGCTATAGAGCTTTCATCAGCACAAACTTAAATCAAACAAAACTATAAGAATATTTAAAATCACTTAACTGAAGAGACACGTGTCGCCCCCAGAATAAACAGCCCAGGAATGCCAAGGGCTGTAACTAATGAATTTTAGATAAAACTGTGACCACTTCATTTATCTTCACTGGACTTGACATCAGAAAGCCTGACCAGAAAGAAAGTGAGAACTCGAGAGGAGAAACCTCCCGATACCATCTCAGAGTGCCTACAAGAGGAAGTTCTCTCTCTCTCTCTCTCTCTCTCTCTCTCTCTCTCTCTCTCTCTCTCTATCTATCTATCTATCTCTCTCTCTCTGTGTGTGTGTGTGTGTGTGTGTCTCCCAGTGCCTCTAAGCTTTTCTACCATGTCGATGTACTAGAGCCCTTCTCATGACATAACCACATTATATGGATTGTCTCCCTCTAATGAAGGCAGTCAGTTCTCCCCGTGAGTCAGTTTCTTTCATAATTCTTCTAGATATTTTGATTCTTCGTCTGTGAAGCCTCATACATCTCAGCCGCTTCCAAATAATTTCTCAGTAGTCGTCCAACTGCCATGATTCACTTCCATATTTCTTCTTCTTTTTCTTCTTCTTCTTCTTTTTCTTCTTCTTCTTTTTCTTCTTTTTCTTCTTCTTCTTCTTCTTTTTCTTCTTCCTCTCTTCTTCTTCTTCTTCTTCTTCTTCTTCCTCTTCTTCTTCTTCTTCTTCTTCTTTTTCTTCTTCTTCTTCTTCTTCTTCTTCTTCTTCTTCTTCTTCTTCTTCTTCTTCTTCTTCTTCTTTTTCTTCTTCTTCTTCTTCTACTTCTTCTTCTTCTTCTTCTTCTTCTTCTTCTTCTTCTTCTTCTTCTTCTTCTTCTTCTTCTTCTTCTTCTTCTTCTTCTTCTTCTTCTTCTTCTTCTTCTTCTTCTTCTTCTTCTTCTTCTTCTTCTTCTTAATCTTTGTCTTCTTTCCTCTACTCCTGGAATGCTTCGTGGTGTTAGGGCAGGAAGAGCTCTGGAACGGGCCTGTCTGTTCGCTTCGAATAAAGTTCTTTTCAGTGTCTCTGCCGTCCATATTCTACGCGGTCGATCTCTAGCTCTGTTACCACTGTATCTGTATAACATTGCTCGCTCTCTCTCTCTCTCTCTCTCTCTCTCTCTCTCTCTCTCTCTCTCTCTCTCTCTCTCTCTCTCTCTCTCTCTCTCTCTCTCACACACACACACCGTGTCTGATGCCAATCTTATTATATGGTCAAACCATTTGATTGTTGTCTGCCCATAAAGTTCACCATTGGTTATGTGCCGACTCTCCTCTTGACATCAAGGCTGCCTTTGCTTGAGGCGTTCTGCATTTAACTTCTGTTAATAGATCTTTCATCTGATGTTATCAGAATACACACATCATCATCATCATAATCAAGTAGCAGGTCCTTTGCAGAACGTCGCTCTCATTCATCCTGGTCTGTCTGAAAGCAACTCGGTCTCTCGCCATCTCTCCTGCGTCATGTACTTTCATATTGACTCAAGGAGTCACTTATATCCTGTGTCCATCTTCGTGCCGATCGAAACCTGCCCCTCCTTCCTGGTACCATGCCTTCTGCTGTAATATTTTCCAATCTGTCGTGGCGCTTGATATGACCAAAATATTTCAGCTTCCGAGACAGGATGCTGTTCATAAGCCAATCTTCCATGGTGTTCAGATATTTCAAAATGTCAGTATTTCTATTCTTCTCTGTCCTAGATATTTTTGGACGTAATTAATGATACTAACTTTTCATCTGATGTTATCTGGGTACGCAAGTACTTTAACCTAAAAGTACTCATAACTTTTCCATCTGATATTATCCGAGTACCCATGTACTTAAGCGTAAAGGTACTCATTAACTGTTCCATGTGATGTTATCTGGGTACCCAAGTACTTAAATCTAAAGGTGCTCATAACTTTTCCATGTGATGTTATCCGGGTACCCAAGTAGTTGAACGTAAAGGTACTCCTAATATCTTTTCATTATATTGACCGCTGATTGTTCCTTCATTGCAGCTTCAACAAGAGGAAGACAGACTGACCAGGCCAATCGTCATCATACAGGGTCCGGAGGCTGCCAAACTCATGGGCATAGTGGGCACACAGACCGAGGCTCGCATCAGAATCATTTACAGTCCCCAGGACCAGACTGCTGGACATGCCGAGGTTTGTAGATTACTGCTACCACGACTACCACTACCACGACTACCACTACTTCCACTACTACTACTACTACTACTACTACTACTACTACTACTACTACTACTACTACTACTACTACTACTACTACTACTACTACTACTACTACTACTACTACTACTACTACTACTACTACTACTACTACTACTAATAACTACTTCTACTACGGATACTACTACTACTTCCTCCTCATCTTCTTCTTCTTCTTCTTTTTCTTCTTCTTTTGCTGCTGCTGCTTCTTCTTCTTCTTCTTCTTATTTTTCCCCATTCTCCACCCCTCTCTCTTAATTCCCCTTTCTCCTTTATTCCTATCTTCCTCCTCCTTTCTTTTTCTCCTCTCCATCTTTGTCTCCTCTCCATCTTTTTCCATACCCTTCCTTAATTCTCCATACCTCCTCCTGCTGCCCCTGTGTGTTTTTCTTGTCATACGCGAATAGATCATCATTGGTGCTGCAGAATACGTGCTCTGTGTTGAGAATTCCTGTTTCCTAACCCAGCAAAGTAATCTGGAGCGCCTATAGAGCATTCTTTGTGACTGGATGGATCTTTTACAAAACCCTACAAACAAAACATCAGAGTATTGTTCACAGTAAAAGAACGTACATCTTAAATAATATGGCCTGTAAGTGTCAACAGTTATGAAATCTCAAAAGAAAGAAAAAAACACTGAGAAATCTCACACCGTTTCGGACTAAATGTTGGACTGTGCTCAGTTGAATCTCGTGACACAAGAAAAGTAGAAATTAAATGAAGAATTAAAATTACACATAATTGCATCGTTTGAAGTGCATTTTTTTTTTAAAACACATCTGGTCTTAAGTGCTTGCTGCTTACAATTGAATAATAATGTATGTTGCAGTATGTTATTCCGGAACTTGCGTTTTGCTTGCACTCCGAGTTTGAAGGAATCAACTCTAATTGTTCGTCTTTTACAACATGCTTATTAGTGGGGCAGTGAGTTCCCCCCACCCCCCACCCCCACCTTTGAGTTTCCTGTTCACAAGGTTTTACTGTATTTCATCTCTATTATTATATTAATTTGTCATTCAGCATATTGTTATTATTATTATTAATCACTTCAAGGAGGCTCAGACCTCGCTGAAGGCTCTACTTTCAAATAAGCAAACCAGCTGAGCACCCCAATGTTTTCTTTCTGTCAGCGCCTCGGTTGTATAGAGACTGGCTATGCCTGATACATTCCCCTCGAGAGAGTGACCCACAAATAGAAGCAGCGGATCCCGTTGTGGGTTTCCGGATCCTATTTTTGGGGAAACGAATTGACCAACTATTTTCCTAATAAGCGCGCCTTTATAGTCGACTCGATATGGGGGTATTTCCTATGAAATAGCTCTTCAGCCTGAGAGGCAAGGAACAAACAGTCTGCATACGAAAAAGACTGCTCTGTAGAACGGACGTGCGCGCAAAGCTCAAGTTCTGGAACAAGACCAAAGTCTAGAAGTGGACAAGCAACCAGAACTTTCCACTAAAGTTTACAGCCGGTAAACGCTAAAAAATAGGAATGAACAGGCATGCATTCTGTGACCTGGTCCCTTTTGTCATTGCAGGTCAACCAGAAGGAGTACTTTGGAATGGGCATCTTTGTTGCGGTGTTCCTGCTCTTCTGTGTCATATGTATCATGGTCATGCTGAAGGTAAGCACCCTTGATTATGTTCCTGCTTTACCATGCCGGTTTTTGTACTGTGTTCCCCTGAAAATAAGACCTACTTCCAAAATAAGACCTACTGCCAAAATAACTCCTACTGCAAAAATAAGACATACTGCCAAAATAAGACATACTGCCAAAATAACACCTACTGCAAAAATAACACCTACTGCCAAAATAAGACATACTGCTAAAATAAGGCATACTGCCAAAATAACACCTACTGCTAAAATAAGACCTACTGCCAGAATAAGACTACTGTCAAAATAAGACATGCTGCTAAAATAAGACCTACTGCCGAAATAAGACCTACTGCCGAAATAAGATCTGCTGCGAAAATAAGATCTGCTGCGAAAATAAGACCTGCTGCCGAAATAAGACCTGCTGCCGAAATAAGATCTGCTGTCGAAATAAGATCTTGCACGTTTTTTCAGGATTCTTTTAATATAAGTCCCTCGTCGTGACTTCGGGTGAAAAATTCACGGGATAAAATTCGCTCACAGCTGTGTTACAAGGGTACTACGAGCAGGCTACAGGGACACGAAAGTCTCACTCAAGGAAAGCATGATTGCTGGACATGAGGTACAGGTGATAATGGTTCTACAAGACATGAAGCCACAGGAAATTCAGGCCCGAGTTCAGGATTTGGAGAGTTATAACGATGTTCCAGAAGAAGACATGACTTTATATTAATAGTTACAGAATTGTGTACATGAATAATACATGTCGATTTTTTTATGTTTGTAGAAAGAAAGAGTCCATTAAAATAAAGTCTGTTGCATTTTTTTTAAGCAAAAATTAATATAAGACCCCGTCTTAATTTTAGGGAAACATTGTAATACAGTCGAGTCTGGATAAGTAGAAGTCGCAGGGACCTAAGAAAATGCTTCCACTTATCAGGACTTCTACTTATCCAGACAGCACACACAATAGAGAAAATTTCAGGGACTCAGCTGGTCATGTTGACTTAACCGAAATCCGACTTATCCGAAATTCGACTTATCCGAGTTCGACTTAAGTGGACTCGACTGTAGATGTGTGTACCTTCCATGATGCCCAATGCTGTATTGTCTACACGGTTATATTCGTTGATCTTGTTCTGTCTGATGTATCATTATCTAATTATCTAAACAAAAGTAAACAAGTGCAAGATCGTTAATTTTCTAAATTACATACGCCATGGTCAACTCAGCTCATTTGGGACGTTACACAACGGTCAACTCATCTCATCTGGGACGTTAAAAGCGCAATTTTAAAACTGCAACTTGTCGATGAGAAATGCAAGCATGTGATATACCATTTTCAGAGACCATAATAGAAATAAACCGCCCAGCCGTTTCTGTCTGTGCTGGTTATCTGTGAATGCATCAAAGAATCCTAATACTATAGCGGATTACGATTCACCGGCTCTCTAGCCAGGCGGAGACATTTTTAAAATTCCGGTTTCTTTGATCTCGTCGTTTTTTGTGTGTAGAAAGAAAAAAAATGTTCGCTTAGCTGTTACTGTAGGCTTTGTAACCTTTTTGTGTTAATTGCACAAGAGGAGATTATTTATTTCTAGTTGTGCCAAAGAGATAATTTTATTTCTGGTTGTGCGCTAGGTTTATTTCGTGGCCTATTAGGTATGTTTTTTAATACACCGAAATAATAATTGTTTGGGGGAAGCATTGGCATTAGTTAAATTGCCCAGGGAATAAATGCTGGGGTATTGATTGGCGCTCACTCAAGTCGGGGAAAGGAGTAGTGATTAGAAAACAAACTAGAAAAAAAAATGTCCCTGGCCAGAATGGGTTTGGGTTAAGACGAAGGATCAACATCATGGCACAAGGGTCGTAGCCCATAAATGCGCCGTGATACGTCTAACTCAGGCCTGATTTCGAAGGATCTCATGCGCAGTCCACACACTTAGTAGCATCGGCTAGGATCCTGAAATACTTTGGTTACATTTTTAAACTCCAGATTTTTAGCACGGGCAGCACCGTTAGGCTACATTTTTCGATTTCCGACAGCAAAAGGATTTTTTTCTTTTATGTGCGCAACAGTACACACGGGCGTTAGGTCTTACTACCCAGAGACCAGGGAAAATTATTAGAAGTCCAGGTGAATACACCCCAGCCTTCAACGGGGCCTCCAACACACCATACCACGAGACCACTCAGCCCCTTGAACGGAATTCAAACTTGCACGCTCCTCGTCATTAGGAGACTATATATCGTGTACACACACACAGGGCGGTTTTTTTTTTTTTTTTTTTTTTTTAATCTTTAAGAAAAACAAAATGTGCCAGTAGCCACCCAAAGTGTCTGTTAAAAATGGGTGTGGGTACTCACCCCAAATAAAGTGTCATATTACAGTTGCGCTGGAAAAAAAATGCCTAATTAAAAGGGGGGAGGGGAAGACGGTATGTTGTACTGAGTACAGTTGCATACTGCAAGGGCGAAAAAAGCCATGTATATACAGGACAGATACGATAGTAGGAGAGGGGAAGCTGAATTCCTGTTGAATCCTTAGCCGCACAATATTTCACGTGACACCAGGCTGGCCTGAGCATAACTGGTTCTCCACTTATAAGATCTTCTCACACTGATGATCTGTTTATCTATCTATACAGATGGTTCGGTGTTGAGAGAAAAGAGAAGTGCCTTGAGGTTCGTAGTGAGAGCAATGGCAAATCTTTAGTGCCGGACAGCCTAGCTTGCGATAGCATGAGAATGGAGGTGGAGGCATTTACTGCAGCTTTCCAGTGGCTAGAGAACAAGATGCATACACATATTGTAAATGTAACAGACTCTGAAAGCTTGCTGAAAAAAAGGGGAAGACAGGGATGCTTAGAGCAGTGTGGCAAGTTTCACTAGGAAGGTCACAGGTAGTGAGCATACTTTAGATTTGTCTTCCCCTCCAGGCTATCCTGACGTGGTTGAGAATAAACAGGCGGACAGATTGACTGGATCTGCACTACTGTGCGATGAGTTGATACATGACAAGGCAGACATGGTCAAGGCTCTTTGGGAACATGTAACAAAGTCAGAAGAGAAACAAGATTATTATGGCCTGGAGAGAATGAGGCACCTTGGTGTAAGCAAAGGGTCTGACACGCTCACTACACTCAGAGGAAAGGCAAGACGGACATATAACCAGATTACAACTGGTACCATTAGTATTGGAACTCTGCGCTGGCTGCTGAAGATGAGGACGGAGCATGCACTGGAATGCTCTGAGTGCTGTGATGTCAGTTATTGACTCAACTCAAAATCTCTAGAAGCTAAATGGTACCTGGGATTTTCCCTAGTAGCAGGGCTGGATGAAGACCTGTTGATACCCTAAGTGCTCAAAATTGAATTTATCTTGCTAGTGCCCCACCTTTCCCCAGAACTGGCTTAACAATTTTATAGGCCCCTGGACAAACTGTACTGAGGCCCCTCCAAAAAAATGCAACTCAAAGGACTGAAATATAAATGGTCACTTAACATACACAGATCAGTATGGAGTTCATATGTTTTTAGGGCCCCCTGGCAAGTGCCCAGTGGGCCCATGTCTTCAGATGGACCTGGTACCCCTATATATATATATGTTATTAAACATATAAACAATAATCAACCATGAAATAAAATTTTTTTTAAATACAAATTAAACAGAACATATAGTAAGGATGAACTTAAAATCATATCTATTTTTGTATAATTCCATGTCATTTATATTTGAAAAGTTCTCACCTATAAAAAAAAAAATTTGCAGTCTTTGATGAGATCCTTAAATTACTATTATGTAACTCATCTACTTTTGTACTTAATAGAGATAAAGCATCCAACCTACCTTGTTGCATTATTGTTCTCATGGGATTTGTTAATATAAACTTCAGTGAGAAAATAATCGCTGAGCTCCAAGTCTGATGAAAATTGATGTGGTGTCCCCTCCCTTTGAGAGTGGTGTCCCCTCCCATTGAGAGTGGTGTCCCCTCCCTTTGAGAGTGGTGTCCCCTCCCTTTGAGAGTGGTGTCCCCTCCCTTTGAGAGTGGTGTCCCCTCCCTTTGAGATGCCTTACACATGTGCTTAGTGTGCCTTAATGGTTAATCGGGCACTGCAAGTTGGTCCCCCATCCAGAAAATCTCACGATGTTAAACCTTCAATTCAGGCCACAGGAGCAAAATCTGAGGTTCTTTTCTTTTAATTTACCCTATCTCCTGGACTCTGAGATTTCGCGGGGAAGTTCCCGGGAATGTCCAATTGTACAGGATGTTACGGTGTGAAGTTAACACTGACCAACACCACCCCCCCTTTTCCACGAATCGCCTACTGTTGAAATTGGACTTTCCTGATATCCAGATATTTTATCACTTTCTGATTCTATAATTTGGGTTTTACACAACAACATCTGCCACACAATAATGATAACTTTTCCTCTTCTACCATCATTTGTTTCGAGTACCACACACTCTTGTTTACTCTTTTCTTTTCTACCTTGGTTCACTAGAGTGCTATCTTGTTTAATCTTTCTTCTATCTTGTTTGTTACAGTACCACAAAGTCTGTTTATTCTTTCCTTTTGTAATTTGGTTCATTAGAGTGCTGTCTTGTTTAGTCTTTCTTATATCTTGTTTGTTACAGGACTGTCTTGTTTAGCCTTTCCTCTTCTATCTTGTTTGTTACAGTACTGTCTCGTTTACCCTTCCCTCTTCTATCTTGTTTGTTACAGTACTGTCTCGTTTACCCTTCCCTCTTCTATCTTGTTTGTTACAGTACCACAAAGTCTGTTTATTCTGTTCTTTTGTAACTTGGTTCATTAGAGTGCTGTCGTATTTAGTCTTTCTTATATCTTGTTTGTTACAGTATTGTCTTGTTTACCCTTTCCTCTTCTATCTTGTTTGCTACAGTATTGTCTTGTTTACCCTTTCCTCTTCTATCTTGTATGTTACAGTACTGTCCTGTTTACCCTTTCCTCTTCTATCTTGTATGTTACAGTACTGTCCTGTTTACCCTTTCCTCTTCTATCTTGTATGTTACAGTACTGTCCTGTTTACCCTTTCCTCTTCTATCTTGTATGTTACAGTACTGTCTTGTTTACCCTTTCCTCTTTTATCTTTTTTGTTACAGTATTGTCTTGTTTACCCTTTCCTCTTCTATCTTGTATGTTACAGTACTGTCCTGTTTACCCTTTCCTCTTTTATCTTGTATGTTACAGTACTGTCCTGTTTACCCTTTCCTCTTCTATCTTGTATGTTACAGTACTGTCCTGTTTACCCTTTCCTCTTCTATCTTGTATGTTACAGTACTGTCTTGTTTACCCTTTCCTCTTTTATCTTTTTTGTTACAGTATTGTCTTGTTTACCCTTTCCTCTTCTATCTTGTATGTTACAGTACTGTCTTGTTTACCCTTTCCTCTTTTATCTTTTTTGTTACAGTATTGTCTTGTTTACCCTTTCCTCTTCTATCTTGTATGTTACAGTATTGTCTCGTTTACCCTTCCCTCTTCTATCTTGTATGTTACAGTACTGTCTCGTTTACCCTTCCCTCTTCTATCTTGTATGTTACAGTACTGTCTCGTTTACCCTTCCCTCTTCTATCTTGTATGTTACAGTACTGTCTCGTTTACCCTTCCCTCTTCTATCTTGTATGTTACAGTACTGTCTCGTTTACCCTTCCCTCTTCTATCTTGTATGTTACAGTACTGTCTCGTTTACCCTTCCCACTTCTATCTTGTTTGTTACAGTACTGTCTCGTTTACCCTTCCCTCTTCTATCTTGTATGTTACAGTACTGTCTTGTTTACCCTTTCCTCTTCTATCTTGTTTGTTACAGCACCACAAAGTCTGATTATTCTTTCCTTTTGTAACTTGGTTCATTAGAGTGCTGTCGTATTTAGTCTTTCTTATATCTTGTTTGTTACAGTATTGTCCTGTTTACCCTTTCCTGTTCTGTCTTGTTTGCTACAGTACTGTCTTGTTTACCATTTCCTCTTCTATCTTGGGGTGTAAGAGTTTTATACAGTCTTGTCATATAATAACATATTATAGTCCCTGTTGGTAGTCATGTCTATCTCATTACTTTCAGTCAGTTCTGACTCCTATGCCATGATGTCAGACTGTCCAGCATCTTCTCTCTTGGTTTCCCTCTGCCTCTCTTCCCCCTCTGACTTTCCTACCATCTTGATGTACTCTCCTTTTCTCCTTCTTATGGTCGTGAGCAAAAGTATGTCTTTCTATTGACTACTTTTGATGCGGGTAAGCAGTTTCTTTGTGAATCAGTTTCTTTCAAGACATCTTCATTATTTATACAATAACACACTCTAATAATTAAATACGAAGATCTGTAGCAGTCATGTGATAACTAGTTGAAGTAAAGGTTTAAAAAAAAACAACAATAACGACAGGTATACGACACCTGTAGCGGAAATTTCACATATTTAAATGAAATAATATCACATTTTATATTTGGCGGGAAAACACTGCTGCTGCAGAGGTGGTCTGTGTAATATTTTTAACGTTGTGTTATATTTGTGAATGGTGGCGTTGATGTCTGTTTATAAATAAGAACCCCTACAGGTTTATATTGTAACATTCGTGGTTTATAGTTGTGATTTATTTGTGATCCACAGCTGAAGTGGAGGAATAGAGCAGAGAGACAGGTATGCTTTGATTATCTTCATCACCTTCATCGTGATTGCATGTGGGGTATCAGGAGCCCTAACTTTCGGGAAGGGGGGGGGGAGGGTATAGACCTAGTGGTCCTAAACAAAAAGTGAAAAAAGTTTATAGTTATAAATGTGTTGGGGACTGGTGGCCAAGATACTCTGCCCTGTATTGTTGTTTGTGTGGTTTTTTGTTGTTGATAACGGCGGCTGCCAAGATGCCTTGTTTCTCTTGTGTGCATATGTTGTCTTCTTTCACTCCCCACCCCTAACTTCTTCATTGAACCTTTTAGTTATGGTTCAGTAAATTAATTTCTTGGCCCTCAACAAACATATCATTAAAGGTCACTAAGGGTTGGTTGCTTTAATCAAATCTGTTGGGCTAATATCACATCCTAGCTGTAAATCATAACACTCCTGCTTAAGGTTGAATTCCAAATAAGAAGAATCAAGATTTTCAGGATACAGAAGTGTCATCGCTATTATCATTAACAACACATTGTCATTGATATCATTAATAACACATTATGGTCATTAATTAACACATTATCATCAAGAACAACATATTGCCACTGTTATAATTAATAGCATGTTCTCACTGTTATCATTAACAACACATCACTATTATTATTAACAACAGATTGTCACTGTTATCATTAATAACACATTGCCACTTTTATCATTAATAACAAATTATCGCTGTTATTAATAATAACACATTATTGTTTTTAACAACACATTGTCACTGTTATCATAAATAACATATTATTGTCACTGTTATAATTAAAAACACATTATCACTGTTATCATAAACAACACATCACCGTTATCATTAATACCACTTTATCATTGTTATCATTGACAATGCTTTATCACTGTTATCATTAATGGCACATTATCACTGTTATCATTAACAACACATCACTGTTATCATTAACAGTGCATCTCTGTTATCATTAACAACACATCACTATTATCATTAACAACACATTATCACTGTTATCATTACCAACACATCACTATTACCATTAACAACACATCACTGTTATCATTACCAACACATTATCACTGTTATCATTAACAACAGATTATCACTGTTACCATTAACAACACAGCATTGTTATCAATTATAACACATTTTCATTGTTACCATTAACAACACATCACTGATATCATTAATAACACATTATCACTGTTATCATTAATAACACATCACTTTTATCATTTACAGCACATTATCACTGTTACCATTAACAACACATTGTTATAATTAATAACACATTTTCATTGTTACCATTAACAACACATCATTGTTATCATTAATAACACATTATCACTGTTATCATTCACATTATCACTATTATCATTTACAGCACATTATCCCTGTTATCATTAACAACACATCATCGTCATTCATGAGTACTCATAATCATGATCACAAGCACGGACTATAACAGCTCACCTTCACATCATGTCTGTGTTATTGTCTTGATTATCCCGTGTGATTAAGATAAACAGATGTTCATCCCTTCTTTGTTCTTTTCCATTAAGTTTGCCAGTTGTCGCTATTTTTTCCCTCAATGTTATCTGATTTTTGTTCCCTGAGCTGCTGTCAGAAAGTTTGGCACCCCAGCAACACATTAACCTGCATCTTGGCCAAAACTTAAATACCCAATTCAACCTCTCAAAGACTTTTAATTAAGCATCCAAAAGCTTCTGGGGAAATGAAGGGTTTAAGAGAGGTAAGGACATTAAGGGAGGCTGGAGCCACGAGTTTGTGCTCTGAATGGCGCTGAAGGCAGGCGGCTCATCATTCTGCAGAGAGAGCACAAGCTATATGGAATCAAACCTGGTGCAATGAAGTCCATCTTCTTGACTTTATCCTGATATCAACTTTAATGATATTTTCAGGATTAGAGAAACTCACTACTTGTTCTGGAATCATCACATTTATTGTGATGTTCATTACTGGCCTTTCCTCTCTTCATCATTAATTATAGTTGTTGTTTGTATGTGTGCTTTAGCATATTCTTCTTCAGCGACCTTTGATCATGCACATAATCCATTGTGGGTTATGAAGTGGGATGTCATCTCAAGGTCTTTTAGGTTTCCCCAAAGCTTAGCTGTTTGGTCTACTGTGTGAGGCCACATGTTGATTCGCAGCTCTGCCAGGAAAGGACAGTTTTGAAATACATGTTCTGGGGTCTAGTCAGCACAAAGACATTGATGGAGATACCTAATTTATATGAGTGTTTGTTGAATCTGCAGTGTACAATGTGTAAGAAAAAAATTGTGACTTGATATGTTCTGTTAAGAATATTTCAGGAAATATTTTTCATGGTTATAACCTGTGTTTATTTTCCAATCTGTTCTGTTCAAGCAATTTAATATTTGACTTACCTTTACTATATACTATTTACTGTGACTGAATATTTCAGCTATCTATTGGTAATCTCACCAAACGAACTATTGCAAAACTGAAGACAAGAAAGTACGAGACCCACAGCAAGAGAGGGTCACATGTTTACTTCCACAGCTCGGATACCAGCATGCACAGCTCCATCTCCGACAGCTGCGCCATCTGCCTGGAAGGCTTCAAGGATGGCCAGATTCTTCGGGTTCTTCCTTGTGACCATGAGTTCCACTCCGTATGTGTGGACCCCTGGCTGGAAGGTCACGGCACCTGCCCGTTGTGCAAGTCTCACATTTCAGGTAGGTTCCATTTTTGTCAAAGACAGAGGGCACCAAACAAGATTTGATCCTTAACCAGGGGTACCAGAGCTCCCCCTCTTTCCTCAATATATTCAGATATGTGCTTTGTGCTTTCCCCGTGATGGTTGAGGAGCCCCATTATGGGGGAGACAAGAATAGAAACACTGCCTACCCGCAAGCATGTTGTAGGAGTCGACTGATTGGGAGCTTTCTTTGAAGTCGTGCATCTGCCTGAGAGGCAAGGAACACAACCATTGTCCAGGAGTGGACAAACAATAAAGATTTAAGCTAGTGAATACAAAACAAAAAGAAGTAGAAGCATGACACGTTTGAAAGGGAGAAAGCAAGGGTATAAAATGTATAAATAATGTATGGTTTCACTACACTTCAAAACTATAAGAAATACACAAGCGGGGTAAGCAGCTGCATCACAAAAGAACAACAAATATCAAGGAAAGATATCAAATCGAACAAAGAGCATATCAGCGAGCTTCACAATATAGCAAATACATACAAAACCTGAATGTTGCAGCTATAGAGCCTTCGTCAGTACATACATAAATCAAACAAAACCACTTTAATACATAAAATCACTAAACTCATGAATCCAAATGCAGCCCGTGGATGTTTTGCCAGTGCAATGAGAAGAAGAAAAAGACTTTAATAAAGCTTCTGGATTTTTTTTGCAAGGAACCAGCAGTCTGCACACACATAAGCCAGATTTGTTAAGAGGATGTGCATGCAGAACTCAGGTTCTGGAACAAGACTAAAATCCAGAGGTGGATGAACAACCAGAACTTTTCCCTGGAGTTTATAACTAGTGAACGCAAAGAAAAAGAAGAGGACACATGAACTGAAGCTCTTCCTCACCCAAGAATATTTGCAGGATGGCTGAAGTCCCCCCCCCCCCCCCCCCCACCCACCCCCCAATCAAGTATAGATGCTAACACAACTGCATGACCAAGGAGTTAAGCTTGGCTGCTGCATCGGACCACTGAGCACACGTGGGGATGCCCAATGTGCAAAGACATCGATTGTGATAACATAACAGAAATTCACTTTTTTTGTGTATTTGTTTATACATTTCATATTACCATAACGCCTCATTAGCCGAACTTGTTAAAAAAAGAATTCTTGTTAACATGAGGACACTTTTGGTCTCTGCAGGCATGAATTATTATTAGTCCATAGTTAGCACACATTTTAATTAACATAAATAAACTCATGATTTTTCGGTCTCCTTGAATTAATATTAATTAGGTTGTAAAATGTAAATATGTTGTATTGCAAATATGTTATGCCACTTAGTACATAATACAAAAAATAATAACTTCTTCCTCTTTCGTTTGTTTGAAATGGACTATCTATATTTGCAATGTTGTCTCTGGTATGAACTTCACTGTCTTTTGTAATTCAGTCAGTGACCCGTAAAGTTTGATTTGCACCGATGTTTCTCTTGGCCAAAAGTTTTTCCTTGATATGCTGTATCTGTTGTCTTAGGTGCTAATCCACATGTGCACATGGCTGATTCACCAGTCTTAAATTGTGTGTACCTTTGGCTGCGAAGTTGATATTATTATTATTAAATTATTTTCCATATGGTTCTGGAGCTTCATTTTGGAGAACAAAGAATAAACCTTCTTTCCCCATAATAACCTTGCTATAGGAAGTGACTAATTAGGGCTGTTTCTTTCACAATATGAGTTCATCTGCCTGAGGCGAGGAACTAACAGTCTGTCTACAAATAAGCAAGATCTGGAAAATGAATGGAACTGGAAAACTCAGATTCTGGATCAAGACCAAAGTCTAGGAATGGAGAAAAAACCAAAACTTTCCACCGGAGTTTACAGCCAGTGAACAAATGAACAGATTTTATTTTCAAAGCATTAAGAATAGAGCATGCAGGCCCATCTAACGTTCTGCTCTTCCAGTCAACTCCCTGCATAGTTATTCATTCGTACATCATTTCATAGTTAATAATAATTGTCAAAATATTCACATCTAAATCCTAATTACAAACACTGGAATGTGCTGGGATGCTAAGAGGATTAATATTATTATTGTGCCCCTGCCTGCCTTTCCTTGTTTTTGTGTGTGGTTGGTTCACCTGACTATAGTCCAGTTGTGGGTAAGAAGGGCATCAAGAACAGAACACCTGACCATAGTCCAGTTGTGGGTAGGAAGGGCATCAAGAACAGAACACCTGACCATAGTCCAGTTGTGAGTAGGAAGGGCATCAAGAACAGAACACCTGACCATAGTCCAGTTGTGGGTAGGAAGGGCATCAAGAACAGAACACCTGACCATAGTCCAGTTGTGGGTAGGAAGGGCATCAAGAACAGAACACCTGACCATAGTCCAGTTGTTGGTAGGAAGGGCATCAAGAACAGAACACCTGACCATAGTCCAGTTGTTGGTAGGAAGGGCATCGAGAACAGAACACCTGACCATAGTCCAGTTGTGGGTAAGAAGGGCATCGAGAACAGAACACCTGACCATAGTCCAGTTGTGGGTAGGAAGGGCATCAAGAACAGAACACCTGACCATAGTCCAGTTGTGAGTAGGAAGGGCATCAAGAACAGAACACCTGACCATAGTCCAGTTGTGGGTAGGAAGGGCATCAAGAACAGAACACCTGACCATAGTCCAGTTGTTGGTAGGAAGGGCATCGAGAACAGAACACCTGACCATAGTCCAGTTGTGGGTAGGAAGGGCATCGAGAACAGAACACCTGACCATAGTCCAGTTGTGGGTAGGAAGGGCATCAAGAACAGAACACCTGACCATAGTCCAGTTGTGGGTAGGAAGGGCATCAAGAACAGAACACCTGACCATAGTCCAGTTGTTGGTAGGAAGGGCATCGAGAACAGAACACCTGACCATAGTCCAGTTGTGGGTAGGAAGGGCATCGAGAACAGAACACCAGTGCTCAGTGTAGTTGAATTATTACAGTATTTTACATTAGAATGCGGTAGGAAGAAGGTGATAGTTATATATTTGAAAATGGACCAAAGAAAATAGACCGAAAACTCAAATAAAAAAAAATAGACAGAAAACACAAATACAAATCTGAAAGAAACAAGGATAAGAAAATGGAAGGAAGGAAGAATCATTTAAATAGTATGTACAATATTGTCTTTATCGGCAGTATCCTGTTTAATCCTTCTAGGTTTTATAACTAGGGGTACGGCCCAGTCTGCATAAGTAGAAGTCGCAGGGACCTAAGAAAATGCTTCCACTTATCAGGATTTCTACTTATCCAGACAGCACACACAATAGAGAAAATTGTTGGGACTAAGCTGGTCATGTCGACTTAACCGAAATTTGACTTCTCCGAGATCGACTTAAGTGGACTCGACTATTTATTTTGTCTGTTTTGTTCAAATAATGGATATTTAGATTTTGAGAGCATTAAGTCCGAAAATATGAAAGAATTAAACTAGATTTCACTGCAAATAGCTTATCTATTTTTAACACTCTCTTGCAGAAAAATGTAACGCTGAGAGGCCAGTTCGAGTTCCTGTCCGTGACAGTAGCAGCAGAGTCCAAGATGCTGTAACTGTGGGCAGAGAATGTGGCTCACGGCACCGACCACACAGCCAGCGGCAGGCAGCTTCCAGATACTCTGTATATACCCACAGTGCGGCTGCTCCAAGACGCAGTTACTTGCCACATAGTTTATCTGCTGCCGATTATAGGCCACTCCATTTTGCTCCGTCGGGTAGAGCAGTGCAATATATTCACACATGTCCTTCATGTAGAGGAACTCTGGGTTCAGCAGCGTCCTCCAGCTCATCATATTTTGGGTCAAGATCTGAGACAGAGAAATCATGTGACACTGAAATATCATGTGATCCAGGGAGATCACATGATTCAGGCAGGTTGTATGATCAGGGGAGATCACCAGGGAGATTGTTTGACCAGGGGACATCACCACAAAGATCGAATGATCAGGGGAGATCATCAGGAAGATTGTATGATCAGGGGAGATCACGCAATTCAGAGAGATTGTATGATCGAGTGGGATTATGTGATAAGGGGAGTTTACCAGGAGGATTGTATGACCAGGGGAGATCACACGAACCCAGGTTAGAGTTAATTTCTTTGGATGCTGTAGCACGCTGCAGTCATATTTTGGAATACTCAGACCATAATAAGAAAGCTACATCAACGCCTTCTTTTACGTTCCTGCCTCCGTTTACCTCTTCGCCCTACCTCAATTTAACTTCTTCACATACTCAGGTATTTCCTTCCGAACCGGTTGCTTGTCCGGGCATTTGCTCACATCACCTTCATTCATCATCGTCGTCATCATCAACATCCGTGAGCGGACACCAGTCGGCATATCTTTACATTCCATTGTCATACTGGGAGAACATGCCCACTAGCCATCTCCAGTGCACTTCTCAGGTCAGCTCCGATCTCCTGCGGCATCAGGTCAGAGCTGCAAGCACTGCCGCGACGTGTGGCTCGTCTTCTTCAGACACAAATCCAAATGACATGTTGGAAAATTGCCAATGTTGTAAAAACTCATGTTCCTTAGCGACTGTTGATGGCAGCAATAGGAGCACATATGGCAGTGCCCAAAACAGGGACTCTGTTGAAATAAGCAGTTTCGATTCCGCTGATTATTTCAGAAAAAGTTCCCTTAGTTCTAGTGATGAGAAAATAGGCAATTACAAGGCAACCAGTTTTCAGGCAGCATCTGTTTCCCAAGGATATAAAAATATAAATGGCAGACATCATTCATCTTTATCTCAGTCGTTAGTACCTGTCGAGTCAAAGTGTGGATTGTCTAACAGAGGTCAAGAGTCAGATCAGAGGGAGTGTAGGTCATCTAATAGTGGTCAAAAATCAGACCAGAGGGAATGTAGGTCATCTAACAGTGGTCAAAAATCAGACCAGAGGGGATGTAAGTCATCCAACAGTGGTCAAGAAGCAGACCAGAGGGGATGTAGGTCATCCAACAGTGGTCAAAAATCAGACCAGAGGGGATATAGGTCATCTAACAGTGGTCAGAAATCAGACCAAAGGGAGATAAATAAGAGAACTTCCTGTGAAACAACCAGAATGCTCCCACTTAGGGACTCAGTTTCATCACTCTGTTTATCAGACGTAAGCACAGGATCGTGTTCTTGGGAGTCATGTTCTTCGTCTCCTCCGGCGTTGTATAGCTGCAGCAATTGTGGTCACAGTTTAAGAGATGCTCACAGAGCAGCAGCTTGTGGTGGTGACTGTGCCAGCAGTGGTAGTTGTGGAGTTGAGGAAGTAGCTTCACAGACTTCAGAAAGTGATGGCTGCGGGCAGTGGTGTTTTAGGTCAAGTCAATCATTCCAAGCAACATCACAGATGTGTTCGTCACACTTGGAGGACGGTCATCAACATATGTGTCCTTCAAAAATGCATACAGCCTCCAGTAGTTGTCTCACCAGTTGTAGACAGCATACGGGTTTACCCCTTTCATCGTTCAAACACAACCACACGTGTCCAAGTCATGAGACAGGTCATCAAGGGGGTTCTAACAGAATAAACAGTGCAACAAATGCCACCAATCCTCAAACAGGCGGCAGTGATCCAGGCAGTATATCATCTCCAACATCGCAGCATTTGTACAGGGAATCATCAGCATTCACAAACTTGAAAACACATCGTTGTTCAAAACGGGTTCATATTCATTCGCCTCAACCATTTTGCTCCAAGAAATCTTCAGATCATTGCTCACGTGGCGTCCCTCTCGGCAGAACTTCCCCAAACTGTCAGCTAGTCAGCCAGTCCAGTATTTGTCAGAGACACCTCCCCGGTCCTTCCCAGCATGCACTGCTGGAATCTGTGTCACCGCCTGCCCCAGACCTTGTGTGTCAAGTATGCAACAGAGGATCAGAAGAGGACAGTGCCACACATAACCGTGCTTCTCTATCCTCACATCCTTCAGTGGTGCTCTTTAGTGAAGCAGAAGGTAAAGATCCCATACTTTAGTTCAGTTTGAATTGTGTCTACTCAACGTATTCATCCTAGGGCCTTATTGGGGGTGGGGAATATACCCACTACCCCCCTAACAATCATATTGTGAAAGTTGACTAATTAGGGATGTTTTCTTCAAAGTTGGACTGCCTCTGCCAGAGAGGCGAGGAATCAACAGTCTGCATACAAATAAGCCAGATCTGTCAAATGGATGTGCACGCAAAACTCAGGTTCCGGAACATGTTTAAAGTCCAGAAGCAGATGAACAACCAGAACTCGCCACTAGAGTTAAGACAGTGAATGAGAAGAAGAAATATTGTCAGCTGATATTTATTAAACATAATCCTGGCGGGGGATTGTACCAAGAGCGAGTGTCCATCATCATCATTATGTGCCATGCTGAGTGACACAGGTGTTAACATTCGTCCAGAAATAACAGCTCTGTGTTTATAGGCTTGACTGCTGCAGAGCTGCTGAGCCACTTTGTTTTCCTGTCTAGCATTTTCTTCATCAGCTGATCCCGATGTCTGACACCTTTTGGTATTCCTTGTCGTTGCAAAATTCTGTGAACACTTTGATCTCATCACAACTTAGACTGTAACTTTAACCTCCCTGTTTGTGTTTCAGAGCTCCATTGGAGGAGGGAGGGTGTGTATGTTTGAATATCCCCTGCCTTTTAACACGGATGTAATAAAAGGTGACTAATATATAGCAAGTGCACAAAATTCGTTGGACCAAAAGGCACAAATAAAACAGCCTAGCTGTAAACCACAACACAGTCTGCCAGCTGCCCTTTTAAGAGCACATAAAGATGAAGATTCTTGATCTATGCTATTGTTTCTACATCACGTGTATGTGGACTGGCTTCTTTTATTAGTTGGATTTTTGCTCTTCTGAGCCATTGGAATCTTAGAATCTGCAGAGATGCAACATCTCTGTGGCTTCCATTTTCAGTCTGCTTAGTTTTTGATCTGTACAGGACTAAGATATTGTTGTTACTTTAAGTGCAGTAATGTAGATAAAGATGGAGGAACTGATAGAGATATTAAAAAATTAAAACAAAAGGCAAGAAGCTTTCATTGCACTAGACAATTTATGCAGGTCAGAGAAATTAAAACTAATGCTAAACTTAATATATTTTTTATTTTAAATGTCAAATCAGTACTGTTGTATAGAACGGAAACATGAATGTTGAATTAAGAATCGACATCACAGCACTCTGGACACTCCTGTAAGCACTCCGCCCCCATTTTCAGCAGCAAGGGAAGAGTTAAAATTCTGATAGTACCAGTAACTTTCTGATTGTACATCCATCTCACCTTTGTGTTAAGCATCAGCCAAATTCCCTGGTAACTCCCTGCAGCGCCATTCTCCTCAGAACATAATGATCTGTTTGTGCCTGGGCACTGTTCACTCATTCCCAAAGGGCTCTTACAAGATCTAGCTTGTCTTACATCGATTCATCACCAACTGGTGCAGAACTAGCCAGTCGTATCTGCCTACTGATTTCCCAACACACCGGCACGACCTGGAGAAAGTATCTAAAGGACGCTAACTACCCAGGACCTCTGAAGAGATGAACGGAAACATGGAGAACAACTAAAAACTACAGGCATTCATTAATTGGTGTCTGCGTAGAATAGAGGGAATTAAATGATGTGTTGGAATCACTGATGTAGAGCTTTGGGAGATAACCAAACAAGTTCAAGTGGACTAAGAGGTGAAGAAAAGACGCTGGCATTGAATAGGACACACGTTGAGAAAACCAGAGAACCATATAACTAGAATGTCTTTGAACTGGAACCCACACGGCATTGAAATAGAGGCCAGAAAAAACATGGAGAAGGGAGCTAGAGAATGAAGTTAAAAATATGGGAAGGCATGGCGGGAGCTGCATGAAATAGCAAAGGATAGACCAACTTGGTGTGTGTGGGTTGAAGGCCTATGCTCCCTTGGGGGGTAGAAAGCAAAAGAGAAAGTTACTTGTAGTCATGTGTGTGTGTGAGCATGAGAGAGAATTTGTGTGTGTGTGTGTGTAGGCTTGCAAGAAAGAGAAAGCGATTGAGATGATGCCAGCATGCCCCAGTTGTGCTCTTTTTTTTTTCTCTCCTTCATCCCTGCCAATTTCTCTCTCCTCCTTTTTTGCCACTCTCCCCCTCTTTTGTGTTAATTATCCTACAGCATACCTCTCACTCATTTCTCCTATACTGCCCTTACCTTTGTCGTCCCCCCCCCCCCCCCCCCCCAATCACTGTCAAATGATTTCTTCCCATTTGTGCCCCAGGGCCCCATTTTTTACAAGAGGAAAGAAAATACCCCCCCCCCCCCCCCCTCTCCCTTTTTTTCCAACAAGCATGTAGTAAAAAAGCCACAAATTAATGGTTTGCTGAAATAGAATTATTTGGCCAAAAGGTGCAGATATCACAGCCTAGCTGTAAACAACACAAAATGCTAGCCGACTTTCAAAAACAGATGCAGAAGAAAAAGCAGCTGAAGAAATTATTATTCACTGCTAACTTTCTCTGCTAACTTTCTCTGTTAACTATCATTTCACTCACATTCCCTTCTTATATTTCCCCATGTACTGCCAACTTTCTCTGTTAACTACCATTTCACTCACATTCCCTTCTTATATTTCCCATGTACTGCCAACTTTCTCTGTTAACTATCATTTCACTCACATTCCCTTCTTATATTTCCCCATGTACTGCCAACTTTCTCTGTTAACTACCATTTCACTCACATTCCCTTCTTATATTTCCCATGTACTGCCAACTTTCTCTGTTAACTACCACTTTACTCACATTTCCTCCTTATTTTTCCCCATGTACTGCCAACTTTCTCTGTTAACTACCACTTTACTCACATTTCCTCCTTATATTTCCCCATGTACTGCCAACTTTCTCTGTTAACTACCACTTCACTCACATCCCCTCCTTATATTTCCTATGTACATTTTCTTTTATTAATCTTTTCAGGTTCATTCGTCACAGTTGCACTGACTGGCTCCGACTCCCATATACCAGCCAACTCTGTGTGACCAGCCTTCGAAGACAGCAGGACCTTCACTGTGATTGTATTCTACATTTGAGACACTTTCTTTGGGATACAACTTTAGAAAAAAACGATTATTGTAATGTCTGAGCTGATAATATTTTTATCTACTTTTACATCCCAGAGTACATGAGGACCAAGCTAGGACATAATAGACTTATCTACCTTTACATCCCAGAGTACATGAGGACCAAGCTAGGACATAATAAGACTATCTACCTTTACATGCAAGAGTACATGAGGAACAAGCTAGAACATAATAAGACTATCTACCTTTACATCCCAGAGTACAAGAGCACCAAGCTAGGACATAATAAGACTATCTACCTTTACATCCAAGAGTACATGAGGACCAAGCTAGGACATAATAAGACTATCTACCTTTACATCCAAGAGTACATGAGGACCAAGCTAGGACATAATAAGACTATTTACCTTTACATCCAAGAGTACATGAGGAACAAGCTAGAGCATAATAGACTATCTAGCTTTACATCCTAGAGTACATGAGGACCAAGCTAGGACATAATAGACTGTCTTCCTTTACATCCTAGAGTACATGAGGACCAAGCTAGGACATAATAGACTATCTACCTTTACATCCCGGAGTAAACGAGGACCAAGCTAGGACATAATAGACTATCTATCTTTACATCCTGGAGTAAACGAGGACCAAGCTAGGACATAATAGA